GAGGAGGAGGGGGAGGAGGAGGAGGAGGCGGCGGAGGAGGGGGAGGGGGGAGGAGGAGGAGGAGGAGGAGGAGGAGGAGGAGAGAGGAGGAGGCGGAGGAGGAGGAGGAGGAGGACGAGGAGGAGGAGGAGCAGGAGGAGGAGGAGGAGGAGGAGGAGGAGGACAAACAGATGAAACAGTACCAGCAAAACGAAACTAGGCCAAACGCCTAGGCCAGAACAAAGGCTATCGACACTCCTCGGCAGCCTGGGCTTCCCGAGTCTGCAGGCGGGCCCGGAGGGCGTCCACCCCAGGGGTGCTTATAAACCCTGCGGAGTAGCTCTTTGACGAGGTCCCGCCCCCCGACTCGACCGCCCACCCAATCGCCCCCTTTATCAAGCGCAGATCCGCCTCCGACGCAAGAGCCACCTTTTCATGGCGCCTGCGGTGCTGCGGATGCTGCCCACTGGAGCCGCCGAAACTGATAGGCCTTCCGGGCCGATATGGCGCGGTCACACCGCTTGACCAATAAAGGTCCTACGCGCTCTTCCGCAAAAGCGCCACACTGAACGCAGTAGATTAGAGGGCGCGATCGCTTCGTCCACGCGGCCTGCAGGCTGTGACGGTGGACACTCTCGCTGCCACACAGCTGACGGAGGACTGGAGGAGGACCAGGGCACTGCATTAAAGCCAGGTCTGGCCCAGCCTTGGCTAGACACCGAGCACACCTTACCTTACCCTCGCCCACCGGAGACCACACATGCCACGACGCCTCATGGGTGGTGCTCGGCGTCTTACTTCGCTTGAAAGTGGGGAGCGGGAACAGTGGCAACACATTGGCCACCAGATTGGCAACAGCCCGTAGCCTCTTGGCCATCAGGCTCATGCGCTCGCTGCTCGACGGGGAACCGTGGGGATGGAGCCGGAGAGCGTCTTTAGCAAGAAGATCGGCATCCTTATTTCCCAGGGCGATCCTTTGGTCCCTCGGTGCCAGTGTCTGAATTATCTCATCCGACCTATGCGCGGGCGTGTGCATCACCTGACCTACGTGATCATGTCCCTGGCCCTCATGAGCACCGCGCCGAAGCCCAGCGAAAACCTGAGCGTGCGCTAGCTGGGCCAAGGGCGGCTTGTTGCACAAACGAGCCGCTCCTAGACAATCAGAAAATGGTCGCGCGGGTCCGGCCTGGACAAGAGAGAGGACAGCGAGGACGAGGTGCTCCGCGGCGGGGGCAGTTTGAGGGAGGCTATCCCAAACAACCCCCTGGAGCCGACATCTGACTTGGTACGCGTCGGCAGGCTCAAGGAAAACAGCAGCATACGCCGCGCGGTCGAGCCTGTGAAATTCACATCGCGTGGCACTGCCATCCACGCATACATCACAATCGGCACTGAGGTCTTGGAAAGCCTCCCGAGAAATAGACATCCCCTGGGCATCTTGGAAGTCCGGCCATAAGGCATCCGAGGGGGGCGGAAACTCGTATCGTCTGGCTGGAAAACGACGAGCCTGGACCAGAGCAGATCGGAGGGTTCCGAGCGTGCCGCGTGTATGATTTCCTCTGGCACGGACTCGGCGCGCTGGGGCTCACACGCTGCGCAGTGCCAGAGGCGGTGGTGCACGGAGTCGGGTTGACCACACAATGGGCACATGCCCGTGGACTCAAAATTATGCTTGACGAGGCGGTCCTCCGTCCACCCCCCCCCTGAAAAGACAGAGCCAATGAGATGCTTTCGGAGAGGATTAAATCTTTTGGAGCGGAAGCACTTGGCAACCACATCAGCAGAGACTTCACGACCTGCCCCTCCATCCAGCGAGCTCGCAAAGTTACGGCCATGCTGTCGCCTTACGCTGGCGTGCAGGAGCTTGGCAAGCATGGCGGGTGACGTGTAGAAGAGGTCGATCTCGACATGCATGTCATCCCTGAACGTCTTGAAGTTCGTGCAAGACCAGCCCAAACGTGACTGACACAACATAGCTCGGTGTATGGGGCCAGCAGAACGCTTCCACTGAGCCTGATCCAAGATAGGGAACTGGGCGGTCACAGCGTCCCACGCCCTCTGCAGGAATCTCCAAGAGAGTTCGGTAGTGCCGGGCTCGACCAGGGACCGCCATAAAGCCTTCGCGTACTGCAGCATGGGCGCCACCGAGGCCTGCCACGCAGGATCGCCATACAGTAGCATCCTCCCGTCCACAGAACCGCCCCGATACGGTATCAAGGCACGGCGTAGGGTGAGTAGTTCACGGGATGCGAGGCCAGTGATCATGCTGCCGAACGTGGCCGCCGGCCGGACACCTGAGATGTAGATCTTATGCAGCTTCGGTTTGCCCACGGTGAGGCGACGACGCAGAGCCCGCAGATAAGCAATCCGTCTTTTCATGTCCTTGAACCTCTTACGCATCCGAGCCGTGGACCCACGGGCCGCGCGGGGTCTGCCTGGGGCAAGGTCCGCGCCGAGTGCCACAATGGAAACATTTGCACGCGACTTCGCGCCCAGCTTCTGCAGTTGGCGGGCGAGATCGCGCACCACCTGTGGACAAGAACCAAAAACCATTGCCTTGTCCTCCGCCAAATCGACCTTGAGTTCCGTGCTGTAGACGCCAATGAGGTCCGAGGCAGCCTTCACAAGGTTCGCGACAATAATGTGCTTCGGACCCGTGGCGGTAACAACATCGTCGTCGACATACACCCCGAGATCGATGTTCACGTTGCGTGCTACGAAGCCATCGAGGGCGGCAATCATGTAGACTTTCACGAAAACGTCATTAAATATGTCCCCCGCTGGGACCCCCGACGCGGCAAACTGAACTAATGGGCAGACGGCCGCTCCTAGGCGTACAATTGGCCCGCGCCAAAAACTAAATAAGGCGTTGACTAACGGCCTCGGGAGGCCACACTCCAGTGCCCGGTCACGAAGCCAACACAAATCGAAAGACTCATAAAACTTTCGGCCATCCCACGAAAAACCCGCGGTGGCGTAGCCTTCGGAGGCTCCTTTCTCGGCGCGAACGGCCGCAGTCCAGACGGCTTCGTCAGCCCCCTGACCCTTCCCGAAGGACCAGTACCGTCGACTCGACGAGTCGATGAAAGATTCTACTTCGGGCCTGCGCGCACGCTCCCACACTCGAACGAAAGATGCCACAAGAAGGATCGGTCGATATCCCCCCTGCGGCTTGTCGAGGAGGGAGAACAAAAGCCAGAGCAGCTGAGCTGGAAATAAGCCCAGCCGCTCGGAGCACGAGAACAATGCGCTCAGCTGCCTCAGAGCCTCGTCGCTGAGCATGCGCACGTGGCGGGGGTGGAAGCCGTCGAGGCTCTGGGCAGTGTGCGTCGAAAAAGAGCTCGCGGCAGAGCGTAGCTGGGCAACCGTGAGTGGCGCAAGGCACTCGCGATCGGGAATCCATGCTTCGGGCGGTTCTACGGTCGCGTGCCAAAATCTTCCCAACTGCAAAGCCTCCTCCTCTAGTAAAGCGGAGGGCGCAGAAGTGAAGTGGCCAGGAACAACGCTGGTGACTGTGGGCTGCCACAGCTTCTTAATGCGAGTGAGGCGATGCATGCGCCGGGCAGAGCCGCTCAGCGCAGAAAGCTGCCATTCGCGCCACGACGCGTCTCGAGTCTTGGTTAGGGCAGCTTGCACCTCTTCACACTCCTCCGACAACTCAGCATGCAACTTACGAGCCGCCTCCCTCTGTGAGGGATCCCACGGATGCTGGGGAGACCAGGAGGTGAGGAGGGTACGTAAGGAGGCAAGCGATCGATCAAGCCTGACACAAAGACCCTCACCAGCATGTGGGGTGCGCATGGCCAAGAGGTGGTGATAACCTTCACCCGATTGCCAATCCAAAACCGTCATGGCCAGTTAAATTTAAAAATTCGTGGAACATGTCCACCATCCACTGCCAGCACTGAGCAACGAGCGTTGCGTGATCGGGACGGCGTTGGCGGTGGATGATTGGTTCCCAAACAGCCTGGACACGAGACCCCCGTAGGCCCATGCGCTCGGGAGGGAGGTCACACAGATCAAAGAGCTCTTGCTCCGCACGGTCAGCAAAGAGAGCCCAGACCTCATTCAGGAGTGCCCATGCTTCCTGGGAGGAACCGTGCAACGACAAAACCTCGAGCTGGGGCAGAAGGCGCCCCGGCACCTGCCAATCTGGAGGTGCTCTGGCGCAACCGATCGGCTGCTCAACGGGGATGCGGCGCTGGCTGCGGAAAACAAGCTGGCGCACCTGCAGCACATCGGCACGAAACAACAGCATTGCAGGCCTATGGGGCTTAACATGCCACGCACGATCGACAACAATGTTTCTCACGGCCCTACGCAACGCGTGTCCAACTAAAAAGTAATCAATTGTTGACGACGTAGTGGCAGCGCGGCACGTGAACATGGGCGGCGCCAGGATGGACATTTGCATGCGCTGCGGCAGTCCCGAAGCCTCCAGCAGGTCTGGAGACATGTTCCAATCTGCTGCTACGAATGTGCGGTCCTGGTCAGAAATCGTCGCTCCAATGGCGCTCATCAGTGCCACGTTCCGCGCGCTCAGGCCTTCGCTCACATTGAAATAAGCACAAACAATGTTGAACGACGAACTGGGTGTGTCCACGGTGACCTGGATGGCCCTGTGGGGGACACTGGCCTGGCAGCACGGGTCAGTCCACCGCAGGCCCAGCCCCGACCGCGCGAAAACGGCAACACCAGCCGAGCACCTGTTCGTGTCGGGGTTGAACTCGGAGGCACTGATCAGGAACTTCCAGCCCAGAGCCCGCACAGCATCGAGGGACTGGGCAGCGCTAAGCTCGGAGAGGCCGATCTCCTGAGCGCACGCGATCACCGAGCTGGTGGTCACAAGCCGCTCCTTGAGCGAGCGCCAACCAGAACCATTGAATGTCTCCACGTACTTCCCGTCAAAGGCCAAGGAGTCTGAAGCCGCCATTGGCGGACATGCCGGCGGGATCGGAACTCTCATGCACGATAGTGGCAGCCCACAAACACGAGGGTGCACAGACACACCCGTGCGCAAGTCACCCACACCGCGGCTTCTTGGCCCTGATGCCCTTCTCTTCGAGAAAGGCCTGCAACCCACGCTTGTCGCCTTGCTGGGCTTTGGCGATAAGCTCATCCACGTCAGCCTCCTGAACATCCATGAACTCGTCCTGATTCCCAGGAGGTGCGGCGGGTGCAGGACCACCAGCGCCACCCGGCTGCTGTCGAGCCGACTCTGGCGCCACGGTCTCAGCACCAGCCGGTTGAGGAGGCGCAGCCGCCGCGGGGGCCGCTGACACAGCGGCCTGGCACTCCTCCCACAGCTTCGTGGCCTGCGCAAACACCGGAGAGGCGAGCATCTGCCTGACCTCCTCGTTCGCGTCCAGGATGGCCTCGGACAGCTTGGGAAGCTTGAACTCGGGCTTGACGACCTCGGGGCACGTCTCCTTGAGCTCCTGCTGGAGGGTGCCGATGAGGGCATCGTGGGACTTGACCTTAGCTTCGAGCTCTGCGAGGTGCTCTTGCGCAGCCGCAAGCACCTTCTGTTGGCTCTTCACGTCGGCCTGCAGTTTCTGCTTCTTCTTGACTGCGTCCTGCAGCTTGTGACCGAGCGTGGTGTGGCGCGCAAGCTGCGGCTTGGCGGCATTACGTGCTTGCCGGGCCGCCTTAAGTGCTGCGTCGGCCTGAGCACGGGCCAGCACATCGGCACCGAGGCCGGACTTGACGAACTGGGCGACGACTCCTTCCCAGCGCTCGCTCCTCCTCCTCCTGCTCCCCCTCCCCCTCCCCCTCCTCCTCCTCCTCCTTCTCCTCCTCCTGCTCCTCCTGCTCCTCCTGCTCCTCCTCCTCCTCTTCCTCCTCCTCCTCCTCCTCCTCCTCGTCCTCGTCCTCCTCCTCCCCCCTCCCCCTCCCTCTCTTCCTCCTCCCTCCTTTCTCCTCCTCTCCTCCTCCTCCTCTCGTCCTCCTCCCCTCCTCCTCCTCCTCCTCCTCATCCTCATCATCCTCCTCCTCCTCCTCCCCTCCTCCGTGCTCCTTCTTTCCTCCTCCTCCTCCTCTCCTCATTCTCCTTCTCCTCCTCCGCCTCCTCCCCCTCCTTCCTCTCCTCCTCCCTCGTCCTCCTCAGCGTCCTCCTCCTCCTCCTCCTCCTCCTCCTCCTCCTCCTCCTCCTCCTTGTCCTCTCCTTCTGCCCCAGACGTCACGTACGAGGTCCCCGACCCCCGGCCCCGCTCTCCCTCTCCTCGGTCCTCTGCCCTGCCTTGCCCCTTGCTCTCTCCCTCCCCCTTCAGGCCTCCAGCATGGGGCCGGAGGAGATGGTGTCGGAGGATCGCGCCGCATCGTGCATTGGCGATGCGGCGCGATCTGCAGCCTGTTTTTCTCCGTCCTGACGGCGCCAGTGCTTCGGCGATCCAGTGCGGTCCTCCGACCCCAGTTGGAAGGCCTTCAGCCCAGGGGCCCAACCTCCTTTGTTTAAGCAAGGGCCCCCAGAAGTCCCCAACGCTTTCCCTTGGGCCGGATGTTCACCCCGACGCAGACTGACGGTTCGAGGACCCGTCGTCGTCGTGGTCGTGGTCGTGGTGGTCGTGGTGGTGGTGGTGGTCGTCGTCGTCGTCGTGGTGGTCGTGGTCGTGGTCGTGGTCGTGGTCGTGGTCTTGGTCGTCGTCGTCGTCGTCGTCGTCGTCGTCGTCGTCGTCGTGGTCGTGTTGGTGGTGGTGGTCGTCGTCGACGTCGTCCCAGACTCCAGCGAGGGCCTCCAGAGGCCGAAAAGTTCGAAGAAGCCAGAAATGGCGAAGGCTTCGGCGAAACGCCCCCTTCCGCTCCCCTGTGCCAGACGATCACGCACGAGATCGAGCGCGTCCGCGTGGACAAGGACGAGGTCATCAGACAGAAGGACCTCGCCCGCAGTGCGAGCGACGGAAGGCACGCGTCCACGCGTGCGGACAGTCGCGCACAAGTCTCCCGCGTAAGGTCTCGCGGTAAGCGCCGTCGTTTCCAGGGCAGCATGCGCGAAAGCTACCGCGTCAGTCGAGGCATCGTTTACGAAATCGGCATGAGTAATAGTGATCGTTTTTGTTTGCATTGTTTTGCCGATCGGTGCGGGCCCTCGCACCCCCCCTCCCCCCACCGGGAGTAGATCTTGGCTGTTTTTTGTCGCCTGTTTCGAACAGGTGGAGTCTCCCCTCATAGGCCGCACTGCTGCAAACAGTCGCACTAAGCAGATGTCCGGAGCCAGACCCCCCCCTCCCCCCCCCTCTTCGCTCAATGTCGAAATGCCGAACAAGAACACGCTCACAAATGAGTAATATATTACACTAGAGAGAAACCTCAATCAGTGGAAGGTTTGAAATGGGATCGATAAAGAGATCGATAAGGAGATCGACCGGGAGCCCGGGAACCCGGGAACCCGGAACCCACCGAAATCGGCCCGGAGCCAATGACCAGGAACCTGGGAAACGGGGACCGGGAACCTGGGAATCCAGCCGGCGACCAAAGTCGGTGGGAAACTTTCGCCAAATCTTCCAACTTCCACTCGGATCCCTCCAGTGCAAGCACTGATCGGGGAAGCACGGCGGCGGGTTCTTGCCAATGTCTCGGGTGCTGCTAGAAGTGCCCCTGGCCCGAGGTGCCCCCAAGAATCCAAAGGAGGCCCCCCGCTGCCTCCAGAGCGCCCCTCGCGAGGCCCAGAAGGCCCAGGGGCCTCAGAATGGAGCGAAAAACTGGGGGCATCTTGGGCCAGTGGGTGCATAGAACCAGATTTTCCCAAACTTGGGGATGGGCCAACTTGCGAGGGCAGGCGATGTTTCCGCAAAGTGCTCAGGGTTTGCATGGGATTCACCGTAAGATGATTTTGGTCGAAGCAGACGTCCTCAGCTGGGTACCCTTGAAGGTCATTTCAGTGCAAGCGCTGATTGGGGAACATGTGTCACCACCCACCAAACCACCCCAACCCAACCCGAAGGCTCAGATTTACCCTCGATTTCCAGTGGGGGGGGGGTCGGGAAACATCGAGAAAACACATGCGGAACCCTTACCCCCCCCAACCCGAAATTCGGGTCTTCGGGTTGGGTTGGGGTGGTCTGGTAGGCAGTCAATGTGGAGGTCCGCGCGGATTTCTGGCATCGGCGCCGGAGCCACCCTCCCAGGCGCACGACCGGCGGCGCCCCCCCCCCGCGCCTCCTCCGCCGC